CACACACACACACACACACACACACACACACACACACACACACACACACACTTGTTCTTCTATCCTCATGAGGTCTTTGCACTGACCCATTCATTTACTGGTCACTAACCCTGACCCCCTGAACCTAACCACCTCAGGACATACCTGACCCAAACCTAGCCTAAACTCAATCCTAAATCGAACACCTGACCCACCAACGGTATTTCCCCCGATGAGGACCAGTCTTTGTCCCCATAAGTGGCTCCTCACTGGGCTGTGGGTACTGGGAAAATGGTCAAAAATTGTCCCCTCCAGGTAGCTAAGACATTTACCTTTCATGCATTTAATTTGGATAGTTTTACTGACCCTATCATCAGGAATGCTATCGTTGTCGTCATCATCATCACAAGCATCACCGATTCCATCCTTATCGTAATCTTCTTGACCCGAGTTAGGAAGATTGGGACAGTTGTCCTGAGGACAGAAAACATGATCAGAACACTGTAGATATACGTTTCAGGAACAGTGTCTGGTCAGCGCTAAATAACATTGCTAAAATTAGTCCAAAAATAAATTTTCAGTTAACTGTTTGAGTTAAAACAATCAGAACAGAAGCAAAAATCAATAAAATCATGTTTATAAGCAAAACTGAGTACTACAATAGCTAAAGGACAAAATTAGCATGACCGTAGCTTCAAGTTAAAATTATCAAAATGGTACCAAAAGCAAAAATTTGAGAAACATTAGCTAAAATAAACGGTCAAGTAGCAAAACTGTAACTACATGCTAAAGGTGGCAAAACAGGGTAAAAGCTAAAATTACTGAAACTGTATCTAAAAAGAGCAGAAAGAATAAAGCTGAAGTAAAGTTTAGAAAGCAATATTTTTGAAMAAACTGAAGAGATCTTAATGAGAAATTTAAAAAAGTTAATAATACAGATTTACAGAGATTAAAGCTGTAGATTGAGCTGAACGTTTAGATTTATGATGGGTTAAACAAACAAAAAGCACGAGGGATTTGTTTGATAGCAGGAAATGCATGAAAAAAACTCTAAAAATCCAATCTTAAGCCTTGCAGCTCGACTGCTTCTTACCTTTTTACAGTGATAGGTGGCGTTTTCCACACAGACCAGATCGACGTTGGGCCATCCGTCCAGATCCGTGTCCTCTCCGCAGATGTGACCATTGCCTGCATAACCAGGCTTGCACTCGCACCGGAACATGGGGTCAGCRAAGTGACCCAGGTAGTTGCATCTGGCGTTTTTGTTGCAGTCGTGGCTCCCATCCAGGCAGGGGTTACGAGGCGTGCACACCTGTGTGGACGATCAAAACGGTTAGTTTCAACAGGAAATGCCTGCTTGTGGGTGACTTGTTTGCACTTACCTGCTTGGTTGCTGCAGCTTGCTCCACGCCTCGGCCGAACGGCTGCGGTCCGGTGAAGCGGGCAGGGCAGGGCAAACAGTTGTAGCCTGGTTGTGTGTTCTCACAGCGATGCACACCGTTAAACTCGAAGCAAGCATCTGGAACTTCCTTGCACTGTTTTTTAGAAAAAGTGTGATTTTTAGGCAGGGAGGCTCCGAGCAATCCTCACAGCTGACATAGTTAGTTTAATGAGTTTTACCTCATCGACATCTTTGCACTTGATGCCGTTGCCCGTGTAGCCAACTGGACACTTTCCACACTTCCAGGAACCGTCAGGGAAACTGGTGCACTTGGCTCCAGAAAAGCAAGGGTTGGACAAGCACCCATCTGAACACAAGAATGCAGCCTCATTATCAAGCTCTTTTTGATGCAGCTTGTTTTTACTCAGCAAAACAAAATAAAAAGTTAAAACCATTTGTCGACAAAACAATAAAGAATCATGGAGGTTTTGTCAGCGATTAAAATGACTCACCGATTGGACAGGATTTCTTGTTGCACATCTGTTTGTCTGTGGCGTCGCCAACACACTCTTTACCGCCGTGCAGAGGGGAGGGGTTGTTGCACAGGCGCTTACGAGTCTGAACACCTCCACCACAGGTGAGGGAGCAGGTACCCCACGGAGACCAGGGCCCCCAGTTCCCGTTGACTGATGCAAGACGACAGAAAAACATTCAGCTAAAAGCATCGTTGTATAACAGCAAAAGAAGGTTGGATGTTAGCAGAGGCRGAGCTAGACCTTTTTACAAGGGGTGACACAGCAGTGAACAAGGTTTTAAGTTGGATTAGAAAATTCAAGATGGCCRCCACAGCTAATTCCAAAAGGCTTTAATTCAGCTGTTTTTAAAACCTATTGAGCTGAAATTTTGTGTGATTGTAGCGAAGGATGATCCAAAAATCATGCTGAATGCTAGYCACAACTTATTATTCAGCCATTTTTAGACCTACAAAGCTGAAGATTAAGTTCTAAACATTAATCAAAAATTCAAGATGGCTGCCACAGCTAACTTTAAAACACTTGAGATGAAATTTGTTGAGGTGTAGCTAAGAATGATCACATGCTGATTACCTATGCTAATGCTAAATGAAGCTAACACCTAATGCTAATTTTACAAAGGGTCATTTTAAACATACACAGCTAAAACATTTATATGGTACAGTCTGACAGATACAACAGAGTATTTGGGCCACACAACGAGATAGAATAAAGTCATATTATAACAACATTAACGTTGTATAAAATAAAGTCATAATATTATGAGAATAAAGTCGGAATATTACGACTTTATTCTCATAATATTATGACTTTATTCTCGTAAAATATGACTTTAATCTCGTAAAATTATGACTTTATTCTCGTAAAATTACGATTTTAATCTCGTAATATTACGACTTTAATCTTGTAATAATTAAAAATATCTTTTTGTGTTGCCCTAATACTCCGTTGTAGACAAAATCTAAACGCTAACACAAAATCTGACATCTCCACCCACTGTCATTTATTTGAGGGTGGCCAATCAGGTGGTGTCACTTGCCACCCCAGGCCACCCCTCTGGCTCCGCCCCTGGATGTGAGCTGGTTTATATTATGAGACTTACTGGGACAGGGAGACTTCTGGCACTTTTCGGTTTGCCGGCCCTCTCCCACACACTCCCTGCCCCCGAGCTGCGGGGTGGGGGAGTTGCAGAGGCGGATACGAGTGATGACACCGGCGCCGCAGGTGACGGAGCATGATGACCAGGGGGACCAGTGGCTCCAGTTGCCGTCCTGCTTGACTGAAGGTTAAAAAAAGGTCRTAGGTCATTTAGCAGGAAGAGAAGTGTTGGACCGAAGCAGATTTAATTTGTCTCATAGATGACAGCAACAAAAACACAAACATATGAATAATTTATAGTGTGTTGCTTGTTTTCTCGTTCATTCGCTTGTTTCGTCACTCACAGCGCTTGTCACACTCCTGGAGGTAGCAGTCGCGGGTCTGTACAGAGGTGCCCTCGCAGTTGTTATTGATACGGTCACAGGAGCGCCCACGCTGCTGAATGCCCCGCCCACAAGACACAGAACAATGGGTCCATTCAGACCAGGGCGACCAGCCGTCCTCTGCATAGTCGCTCGCTGAGCAGGAGAGAATATGAGACAGAGGGAAAGAAGTTGGACAATAAAAGTGCTATTCCAGTGAGGCGGCACCCCTTTTCAAACCCCCCCTGTGAGCCTAAATTAAGAGGGAATGCACCTAAAGTGGAGGGCTAATGGAGCAGGTTTTAGCTGGGACTCAGACATTTATATGAAATACCTTCAGGTTAGAGCAGAAAACTAAAACTCTAAAAAGAGCCAGAGAATCTGAAAAAAACTGCTACAATCTGAGCGCACAGGGGTGTCCTTGTTTTGTTTCACTAAAAAGGAAGAAAWAAAAGGAAACACGACGCTGATCATGTCGTACCATCAAACGTCAACAATTTTATCAACATTTTCAAGAAAAAGCGTTTGCCACAAACTCTACTGATTCTCCTGTCTGAGTATTTTCAGGTCTTTGAAGTGGGTCAAACAGAAATGTCTCAACTCAACACTGAACACAATAATCACCTTTTCYTGCTGTAAAACTGGAAACTTTCTACGTTTCAAGTTGAATATTTAAAAACGTCTTCAGCACAAGAGCTCAATTCAAACACAGAAGCATCCTTTCATTTCCTCCAATGGAACTGAAGTGAAATCATTTTTAAAAGTAGGATTTCTCCTGAATAGACACGTTTTTTTACATCCAGGGGAATATTTGTGGCTTTTTGTTTGATTTGGCAAATAACACACAAACGGCTGCTTCAGTAAACGTGGCAGTGATTGAATGCTTCGTCTGTCTGTTGAAGTGTATGCACACCAGCGTATGGAGACCATTTATGCACACATTTACAGCACTTTCACAATTAAAGGCCAATCATTCCATCACTTGATGACAGTTTTAGGCTAAAATCCCCTTTTGTTTTGTTTAYACCTAATTTGGTTAAAGCTTGAAAATAATGCAGAAATCTCTCAGGATCTGTTAGAGCTCGATGTTTATGCTGTGAATGACTTTCAGCTACTTAAACATTAAGTTTTAGATCAGTATCTGTTGCTATTTGTGTGGAGGAAAGTTGTTCTCCTGGAGATACGTCCAACAGCTGATATATAACCGTCGTGGTTGGACTCAAAAAGTGAATCAGTTAAGCCCAAAGATTATTTAAAATTCTATTAAAATCCATTCTTGTAACTCATGAGATATTTGTGTAACGGTGCAGACAACAACTAAGTTGGCAAAAGGAGAATCCTTACGTGTTCCACAGCGGGGGCAGCACTCCCCATCAGGAACTGTAGCGTTGGCACAGGGGATCAGCGGGCAGGAGATCTTACGACAAACTGTAGCAGAGTTCTGCACAAAGTGACCAAAAAACAAACAAACCATGAATGATCAGACAGATGTGTGGATATCAGATGAAAAGTGAGTTGGACTAAAGTACAGCTTCACTGATACAAAACTGTAAAACAGCTTCAGTCRGTTTGTTCGTGTCCGTTCCCAGTGYMTGAGCACATCACGCCAGAAAACTAAAGCACACGTCTCTGGCAGCGAGCGGAGACTCCTGCAGACAACCACTTATCCACTGGGYCGAGGAGCAGGAAGGCCCCCCTAAACCTGGATGTGGGTCTCATAGCGAAGCCTTGTTTGGCTCTGAGCCCTAAAAGATGGCCTCCCAGCCGTGTGTTGGAGCACAACTGTCRGTAAGCGCACAAAGCTCCGCCTCCTGGAGTTCAGCAGTGACCAGAGAGAAGGAGGAAAGGCTGCTAAATACCCTCCTTTTATAAAAGTCATGTTCTTATTATGAACATTTAACAACAGGTCTGTCATTACAACACCAAAGACCACCGGCCGTCTGCCAACCCACCAAACTACTAATTACTGACCAGAGACGCTCAGGTGGTGCTTAAGTGTGTTTGTGTCTGTGTGTGTTGTCTTTATACGAGTGTAAGAACAAGTCGAGGAACAKAATCCCTTCACACACGCCTGTGTGTGTTTGTGTGTGTGTGTTTAGGGTGCAGGGGGAGGGGCTCACCTGACAGGTGCACTCTGTGCAATCATCGACCGTCCACTCGTCTTTGTTCTTGCGCATGATCCCGTTGTGGATGCAGACGCCGCTGTGGATTCCGATGCGGTTTTTGATCAGTTTGTTCTCATTCGTCTGGGAAGCAACATGAAAAAATCCAAACTAAAAATCTTTCTGAACCGTTTGGAAAAGATAACATTGAGAACAAATTAAAATAAAAAACACCGCTGAGGTGAACAGTTGTTGATGTTCATGAATGAAGTAACAGGAAGTGATGTCAAAATGTCTCCTAACRTTCTTAAAGAGTTCCCCTTTAAAATCACTTCCTGTTTCATTTTGATCCAAGTTCAAAAGAAAATATGGCAATCCTGTGACAAAATGGGTTAAATCCTGTGTATTATGCCAAATATAGTTTTTTTCTTCAACTTTTTGTACTTGAAGGACTTGTATGTCTCTTTAACGACACATTAACCATCACTGTTCTGCTAAGTTTAACTTTTTAATGTTCCTTCTTTATAACTTTGTGACGAGCTTTTAGATAAATCAGCAGCAGAAGCTCAGACTCTGTCAGACCTGGTCTTTGATGGCTTCCTCCTTACCAGCTGGCGGAGCTCATTGGACAGCTCCTTGACCACCACGCCAAGRCCCTTCAGCTCCTTGAACATGCTGAGAAGATCCTCACAGGAGAAGCCGCAGACCATCTGCAGGTCTTCAGGAGAACAAGTCCAGTTCAGACAAGGCAAATTTTAGATAAATTAATTAAAAAATGGAGAATTCCAGGTAGCAGGGAGTACCTTTAGTCTTGTGACCTGTGTACTCTGTTCTGATGGCAGAGGAGCCGTTCAGATTGTTCAGGATCATCGTGTCGCTTGTAACAACTGTGAGAAACAACAAAACATGTTGGTGAATTAAAGTGTTCACCTAAAATAAAAAAGCTCTACTTTAACTTACAGCCCTGATTATATAAGACACCAGAGAATGTGTAATCTGACATTCCTCAGCTCTCTTTTAAATGAGTTTTTTAATCCCATTGGGTTTCCCAAGGTAATAAATAAAAAAATAAACTTGCCACTGAGAAATGTAAGCTTTTATGAAGAAATCAACCACAAATACTCTCAGACAGACACTTGTCAGGGCCTGGCAGCGCACGATGTGGCAAACAATTACGCGCATTGGTCATGATTACTTACAGCTTTGGCATCCTTTGTTGCGCATGATGGCTTCCAGGGTTGTTCCGAACACAAACCGCACGTTCTGCAGAACCCCCTGCAATCAGCAGWGCTCACTTTAATATCACAATGAAAWAAACAAAATGCTTTCCACTGGATTACATAACAGAAACAATCATTTTAATAAGAGAGTTTCCAGATTTACGCGCTTTTTGCGCATTTGGACACATCCAGTGAGTTGATTTATTGTAGTTCCACTTTTAATATTTAAATAAAAAATACATGTTTAGTGTTAGAAACGAGCCTCCAGTCCGTGCTCTCACCATGAACCGGTCGTTCACGGCCCCTTTTCCCACCCTGAGGCGCGCGCCGGCCGGCACCTCGTGCGTCAGGACGCTTTGGATCGGCGCGTCCATCTCGGCGGTGTTCACCTCCTCGCAGCCGGCGTACAGCTGCACGCGGTCCTCCTGCACGAACAGCGTGATGTTCCTCCAGTGGCCCGTGGCCAGATCCGCCTCCTCGATGGAGACCACCTGCTGCTTGTTCTCCGTGGAGAAAACCACGTCCAGCGTGTTGGCCTTGCCGTTGGAGACGATCTCGAACACGGGTCCCGAGCCGTCGCGCTTCTCCACGGTCAGGAGGCTGCCCCTGGTCCGTTTGAACTGCTTGAAGTTGAGCAGGAGGAGGAAGCCCCTCTCGGCGTGGATGGAGTCGATCAGGTCCCTGAAGGCGCTCTCGGGGACCGGGGGGATCAGGTCCGGGTTCAGGATCTTGTAGGCGGGGCTGTACGGGTCGTCTCCTTTCACCAGGGTCACCCCGTGGTTCTTGCTGGGGACCTTGATGAGCTCAAACAGGTCGAACACGCTGTTGTCATCTCTGGACTCTGTGGGAACCAGAAGCTTCAGTTTTTGTCTGGAGGACAGGAAAAGGAGAAAAGTTCTCAGAAACTCACCTGCGACCCTCGCGCCCTCACAGGTCCACAGCATCAGGAGCAGGAAGACCCCTGTCTGCTTCATGATCACACACCGAGCTGCTGCCTGCGGCAAATCAAACCCATAATGTTTACAGCCTGACTGCATGTTTGCTACAGGTTCTGCAGAACTTCCACTCACCTGCTCAACTTCAGAGGAAAAACAAGAAAATCCCCCAAAATCTGTAAGAATCCAAGAATAATCCTCAGGGATGAGTTTAACCCAAGTTTTCCATTATTATATCCACAGAGGCGAAAAATAAAAATAATCAGTTTATTTTTTTTTAAGCTTAATGAAAACTCCTCCTGATGCAGCCCCGACAGATCCCCCTTTAAAGCCACAGAGGACAAAGTTTTATTTAAATAGTTTGATGCTTTTCCTAAGATGTGGCCTCGACCAATCAGAGCGAGGAGGAGAAAAAAAGGGACGAGCTTATACTTCTGGTGTGTGTGTGTGTGTGTGTGTGTGTGTGTGTGTGTGTGTGTGTGTGTGTGTGTGTGTGTGTGTTCTGGCCCCAGACTCTTAATGGGCCACTGTTTCCTCTCACACCTCAGAGTCACGTCCACCTCACAGACCTTCTGCAGAAGGTTTCACTCAGATTTCCATCAGCCTCTGCTGAAAATAAAGTCACACTAATATCTCATGTCCTAAACAAAACATTAATCATTTATAATAAATGTAAATATGGCTTGATGTCCTCATCATTATAAATATCTTATCATAGGTTCATAAACAGTTTAGGCTCATAAAGTCTATTTGTGTGCTAAATAAATTTTATTATTTTGTTTTTTTACCTTTTATTATCTCATGCTGTTTCTCAGATAAGAGGCTTGGATTCAGTCAGTTCTGGTGCAGTTCCAGCTGCAGCCACTAGGAGTCAACGTGAATTCACTGAGGTGCCTCTGGCAGCTCCAGGTGCTCCATATATATATAT